AGAAGAAGAAGAAGAAGAAGAAGAAGAAGAAGAAGAAGAAGAAGAAGAAGAAGAAGAAGAAGAAGAAGAAGAAGAAGTCTTCTCACTAGGAAGAATTTTTCAACTGGCAATTTTCCCTTTCCCTGCTTCCCTCCCACTGGTCTTCTGTCTCTTTCTTCCTTTTGGCAATAAAGTGATTGGCAATTGCTGTTATAAGAACTGACTTGTGTTTGTTCCTTGTTCTCCATGGCTTCTCGTTTTATAGCTCCAGCCAAAAGCCGAGACCTCCAATCTGAAGCTTTCATGTTCAGTTTACCTATGTGCTCATTTACCTAAAGAAGTCTATGGCTACAGCCTAGGTAAGGTGCTGACAAGCTGTGACCTAAGGATTTCAGTCAATAAGATTGGGAGGTAAAGCCTGGCCTGAGACTCAGATCTTATACTGCTAAGTCTTCGCCAGCATTCTTCAGTTGGCAATACTCTCAGCTCTGCCTTGAAAAATCACTTTTCAGGAGAGAATTTATAAAGACTTTCTCGTCCCTTGGGATTTGCCTCCCCCCGCCCCAAATTCTGTGTAGTCCCCCCAGCTCTGCATGGATGGGACAATTGTGGGGATACGTCATCTAGGGCATCTATTTGGAAGCTACCCAAGGCCTACAGTTTAGGGTTGTGCCCCTTTTATAAGATTCCTTCTTTGCAACATCATTTAAGCCAATACCCATCAGTTGAAGTGGCAGTAAAATTAATGGTTGTGGCAAAACCCATTTCAGAAACCAGTTTTGTGGGGAATGTTTGTTTTATATGTATGTAAAAGGATATCTTGGTAATATATACAATTGCCCCCAGGATAGATATCCATGAACTATGGTTGGAAATTTCCCAAAACTCCCTTGGGACCGTCCAATCCTGAAAGACCGAGTTGTATATACTAAAGGATTTAACTTGCCGTTTCCTAGAAGCCATTCAAATCATGTACTTGTAAAATAAGCACACATTCGACTGTCCCCTGGCAAGGTCTATGTGATAAGTAAAGGGGGCAAGCCTCCAGCAAGCGGCTGTCTTGTCTGAGCAGGAGCCGAGGCATGAAAACAGGCACAGAGAATCCAACCTGGTGGTTCACTTTAATTGCCAAGGAAATTATGTGATAGAGAAAAACACTTTTGTCAAAAACAAAAACCCACCACAATCACTAAAGCCCTTCAAAGATTAATCTGATGAATTTCAAACTGAGTTAAAATGGCAACTGTATTGGAAACATGACAAAAGGAAGATGCTAAAGGGAAAAAGTTGAGTAGAGTCAACGAGGTTACACATAAGTAACACCTTAACATTAACAGAAATCTATTTCCCATCTTAACCCTGAAACCTCTTCAATTAATTACTAAAATCTATTTACACAGCGACAAGATAAAAATCAATCTGATTCCTGGCACTGTACCTGTCTGGCCGCCCTCTCTCTTATAAGTGGCCAGGGGATACGCTCAGTTCTCTGGCAACTCAGATTTTGGGAAGCTCTCTTGCTCCGCGCGTGGAAAATGTCTGAGTTTCTGCTTCTCCATCCAGAGCCACGGTGCAGGCCGAATCCGTGAAACCCAGACAGTCAGGATGAGGACAATGGCAGATTCACTGTGTAAGTTGTGTTAGGACTGTGCTAGTCCGTTGGTATACCTTAGAGTGATTAGAAAAAAATACCCCCTCGGGCTGTTGCTAGCTTGACTAGCCAAAGCCGTGCCCTCTCAGCTAGGTGAACAAGCTGCATCCAAGTATACAGACAAAAGTGTCACTACATGTATATTAATTCATCATACAAATCAAGCCCCGATGGAAGAGAGTAAAGAATGAAGAACAAACCAAATAAAAACCAAACCAGGTGCCGTTGAGTTCATTCTGAATCATGACGGCCCGTGTGCCGCAGGGTAGAACTTTGTCCCATGGGATTTTCACATCTGTGTCCTTTCGGGAGGAAGCAAATCCCCATGTCTTTCTTCCCAGACACCTCGGGGTGGACTTGACCATCTTTTTTGGTTAGTAGTCCTTTGATTTACTCTTTGTGTGGCATAAAACTCACTGTCATTGGCTTGATGTCTACTCACAGCGACCATACAAGACTGAGTAGAATGGCCCTTGTGACTTTCCAAGGCTGTAACTCTTTATGGGAGTACAGAGCCTCGGCTTTTTCCTGTGGAGCCACTGGTGGTTTCGAACTGCTGACCTCGTGGATCGGAGCCCAATGCGTAATCACTATGCTACCTGGGCTCCTTTTGTGACCTAGGGACTCCAGAATGATGAATAAACCATCCACGAAGCCACTACCATCGAGTCAATTCCAACTCATAGTGACCCTCTAGGACAGAGTGGAACTGCACTTTCAGGTTTCTGTGAATGTAAATCATTATGGTAGCTGACTGCCTCATCTTTCTCGCATAGGATAGTTGGTGGGATTCAACCACTGACCTGGAGGCTAGCAGTCCAATGCTTACACCCCCAGCACTACGAGGCCTACTCCTTTAGAATGGCGATTAAACCCAAAACCAAACCCAATGACACTGAGCCATTGCCGACTCATCTTAACCCTATAGGGCAGGGCAGAACTGCCCCCGGAGGGTTTCTGAGACTCTAACTCTTTGCTGGAGTAGAAAGCCTTGTCCTTCTCCCAAGAAGCCACTGGGTATCAAATTTAAAGGCACCTGAATGAAGACGATCACCTTTTATATACTCATTCATCAGCTAGCAGAGGTACTCAGGAACCCGATCAACCGGACTCTCGGTTCAAGTATCTCACCCAGAGCAGAGTGGTCTCAGACTGAAAGCGGCAGCTAGAGGTCTGTTAGAGCGACCATGCTAGATGGCTGCGGGGCAAATCTTTAGGACGACTTCATAGTTGAGGCTGAACACTTCCTAGTGCCTAACTCAGTTTCTCTCTTGCTTGATCTTGTACTTAGAAGTTACAAAGGATGAATATTCCTTCTTACACAAGAAAAGCCAGTATAGCAAATAAGATGTAAGGAGTTTGAACTGAAAAAGCTGTAAAAACACCTCTGAGACCACTGACCAAGTGTATGTGCTGGCTCGCAGGACCAAGTCTTCCCACATGCTGTCTGAGCTGCCAGAAGTATCTCTTTCCTTTTGTACTCCTGGCAAATCCCACCTGGTCATCCAACACACGTCTTACAAATCATCTCGCCCAGAGAGCATTGATTGTGTCATCTTTATGGTACCCTGAAATATTGTATACATTTTGTTGTTGTGCTTTTCACCCTATGCTGTCATGTTTGCTAATTGACAACTGGGTTTCCCCATAGATTCTGAGGTCTCCAAAAGCCGGAACCAAGTCTGACTCACCTTTGTATCTCTCGGACCTAGCAGAGTGCCTTGGACAGAGTTGGTGAGCAATAAACATCTGCAGAATGAATAAATGTATACACGGATGCATGCATGCATGCATGAATGAACACAGAAAGAAATGAGTAGACAATCTAATATAACAGACTTTTTTTTTTCATGACTATGATATATCTAGAAACACATACTCTCCCTCAGGTGCCCTTGTTGGGCCAAACCTCTTGAAATTCAGTTCTACCTCTTCTCACATTTCCTGAATCCTCATGAACTTGGGCATGTCCTATGTCTTGGTTTAGTTTAACATCAATGTGGTATTTCAGAGGTCCAAGGGATACACTGAAAAGCCCCCAGCTGGCTGTTGTAATAGGTGGAAACTTCTATAATAGGTAGGAAAGAAGAGGAAATGGTTCATCAGAATTCTGAAAGGTTCAGCCTCCCCAAGAGATGATTATTCAGATGCCCTGAAGTTTTGGCCACCTTTCCGAAGGTCATGGGGCTTACTGGTGATGGCTGCAAGAACTCCCTGTAGATCCTACCTCACATTCTAGAAGTACAGATCCTCTGGAACTACAAAGGACCTTCCAAAGTCCTCCTGAAGGACATCATGCTTGGTACAGAGTCAGCGAAAAAGAGGAAGCTCCCTCATGAGGTGGCTTATCCCAGTGGCTGCACCCGCGGGCCCAAACATGACAACAGTTCCGAGGAGGACACAGCGCTGCTGCAAGTTGGAGTCTTCTCCACAGCCCCTAACTACAACAACCTCACTTTCCTGGTGAGAAAACACACCTAGGAAGTTATCTCCCATCCTCAATGCACAACGTGAAACATGACCAATGCAGACGTTTTCTGATTACATTGTCCCAAGCGTTTGCCACAAAACAAGTCGGTTCTTCTGCAGCCTGGACATTAACCTTCCAACTCGCCTTCTTGGCCGGCTGGCTGGGCTGCCCACTTCTCTACTGACTCTTGAAAGATGAAGAGAAAGAGAGGCAAAAAGGCCCGTTACTTACTTGAAGGGCTTTTCTCCAGTGTGGGTTCGGATGTGGTTGTTGAGGGTGGTGGCTCCGGCAAAGGCACGACCACAATAGCCGCACTTGAAAGGCCGGTCGCTGGAGTGGGTGACCACGTGATTCCTCAGCTCTGAAGGCTGCGAGAAGGACTGGGAGCAGTGGCCGCACTGGTAGGGCCTGCAACAAAGGAAGAGACCGCCCCGTCAGGGGTTGCTGTGAGGCTGTGGGGTTCAGCACCGCGAGGGGAGGCCCAAAACTGCTGGAGCCATTTCCTGGCTTTTCAAGAGGGAGCAGAGAGCTGTGGGCACCGGGTTCCCTCTGCTTTACAGGAGCTAACTCTGGGCGAGTCCTTCTCCAGGGAAGATCCCCCCCAGTGTGAGTCACAGCACGCCAAAGCACCCCAAGTCCCCTCCTCTTCCAGGCGTAGTAGAGGCTTGTGCACGCGCTGAAGCACAGACTTGACTAAGAAGCGGGTTAAGAGAAATGATTTCATTGTCTCTTAGGCTTCCACGGGACTTTCAACTTTCCAAAGTGGATTAAAATCAATTCTCTAGTGTCATCTTAATCATCCCTGGAACAGGGGGAGCAGGTCTGATCTCCATAGACTGAGGGTGAATTGTCCTGATAGGAAAGTAGGTCTTGAGGCCACGGTCACTCTAGGGCATTTGAATCATATTCTGAGTGTCAGGGGAACATGCAGGCAAATAAGAGACTGCCTGTGTGCCTTCACAAATACTAAACCAAATTGAGGTCTGTCGCTAGCCTCGGCCCCGGCATCGCACAACCACAGATGCACGTCTCTGGAAAAGAAACGTGGTTCTGAAAGGCACTCATGAATCCTAGCTTCTATTTCCCAGGTGCTCCTCCAACCCCACTTGACCCACCGCCCTTGTTCTTGAACTCAGCTCCCCAGTTTAATATGATAGCCACTGGTCTTGTTCTTGAACTCAGCTCCCCAGTTTAATATGATAGCCACTGGTCTTGTTCTTGAACTCAGCTCCCCAGTTTAATCTGATAGCAAGCAAGGGTGCAGAGCAGCCGCAACGCAATGAGCCACTAAGCTCACAGAGGCTGGCGCTGGTGCAGCAGCAGAGGGAAGGAAGTTGTGAGGAATACTTGATAATTAGCAGGTTTACTAGAGAACGTGCTTTCCAGCTCATGAGGAGGAAATCAATTTGGGGTTTTCATAAAACAGATTAGAATTCTGTCTTCCCTACCAAAGTTCTTCTGCTTAAGTAAGCAGAATCTGGCCAGCGATAGAAAACCTGGAAAGTTTTCTGGATTCGAAGCTATTTCATTTCATTCCTTGTCCGGGCTCTCATTTGTTCGTCAAATTTTTTGGTTAAGAAATGAATACTGAATTGGTAGGGTGTGTGAAGTGTAAGAGACAGTCTCGGCCGGTGTGAAGCCCTGGCCTGTGGCCCAAACCGTCGTGGCTGCGTTTAGAAAGCCAATGGTTAGAGCTGACTTAATTGTTTTACCTTTAACAAACTCATCTGCTCCCAATGCCCAGAAACCAAAGCGAAGGGTTAGGAGACAATGGTGGCCAAGCATGTACAACAATTCAATTAAGTGCAAAATAAAATGTACCCTCTCATTTGTCAAGTGAAGTGCTTAATTGTGGCTACTTGCCTCACTGAACACAAATACTATTATTTTTCCAGGCTTCAGCACACTGAGCACTGATTGTAGAATTTTTTAGCTTGATTAATAGTCCGGGATTGGTCAATAATTCAATACTATACAATTTTAATTACTTACATTTAGAAATCTATCTAACTGCTCTCAAACAAGTTTCAAAGAAATATTTAAGAGTCCTTGGTAAGGAGTTTATCAATCTTGACAAATTACACATGTGTTTTATTACCATGATAATATAATGCTTTGAAAGCCATTAAAATTATATGTAGATGAAAATGTCCTCCTGCCAAATCTGTTCTTCATAGTCAACACTAACCTTTTGTTGCGGGGTCCCTGAAAAAATAATTCTCTCAGAGGTAATATTATTAGTGTTATTGAAGATTATAAACAAAATAATATTTTAATAGATGCTATATCCACTGACAATTGATTTTCTAATAGTGAAGGGACCATTAACATTTATTAGCCTCTGGTTATCTATTTTTAATAGCTATCACAATAAACAATAAGCCACTAACTAAAACCAATAAATCTTTTCTTCTTTTTTTTCTAACACTGCTGTCAAAAGTTGGGGTGATTTATTTCCTATAGTCAGAAGTCAATCCATCCTTTTTATGTTAATGCAGTGGCAAAGACTTTACACACAAGGAGCAGAAATAACCACAGAGAGCTTATGTTGAATTTGTACATCATGGTAATACCAATGTGTAGTTAATAGGATTCCAAAACATCACCTTTGCCCAAGAAGTGTTTGCTAGGAATTCAGTTCCCGGTGGCACTTTGTAAGACTTGGCAGAACTCAACTTGAGTAAATGCTTGAGTAAATGAAAGGATCTAGATTAGGGAAAGTGAGTGTGCTTCACTCTGGCCTCTTTGAGCTGTAGAACTTGTTCAAGCCATGCAGATTCCCTAAGCCATTTTCTCAGCAAGTTGGCAAGGAAGGTGGCCAGAAATAGATGGTGTCTCCTGTTCTTTCACACATTCTTCCTCCTTCTCAGATAATCAGCAAAGGTCCATGGCCTGAGGACCTACCTGTCCAGGACACAGCCTCACGTGACACTCCATCAAGAATAGGGTTCCCTCTCCCATCATTGGTACCTACCAACTCAGTGTCCACAGAGCTTTCTGTGAGTGCGTGGGTGGGTTTGCGGGTGCTAATTAGAACAGAGTTTAAACTCATTTGCAAACAGTTGAGAACACAAAGCTACAGGTAAATCGCATACCAAAACGTAGAAGCGCGCCTTATTTTAATTGATCTCAAAAAAAAAAGCAAAGTGATACATCATTATTTTTAAGTATCTTGAAGAGTAAGATTTTCGATGTGAAGATTGCAGTCACCTTCACAGAAGCGCGTTTTATGTGGAATTAGAGCTACAAGGGTGAGTCCGAAAGTATTGCTACCAGGAGTCCAATTCATGCATGCCCGGGTTTATTCCAAACAAAGCACAGTTAAATGTGTTTCTTAAATCAGTGGATGACTGTGGATTAGTTCTCTCAATTATAACCTGTCTTAGTCTTACTAGGGGACCTTCAAAAAAGGCAACATCGAAAGAGTGGCTTCAGAAGGGATCTGCTGAACCAGTTGAACTGAAGGCAGAGCGGTCAACTCAGAACGTAATGCAGACAGTTTATTGGGCGTCATCCTATTTATAGATTTCTCCCCCTCCCCAAAGGACATAGGATAATCGGGATAGCTTATGGTGAAGAATTTTTAAGGAAATTGAAAACTGCAGTGGTGGGGAAAAGGCCAGGAAAGCTATACTGACATTTGTGGTTTTGCCATCATGACAAAGGCCCTGCTCACTCCTGGCAGGTAGCAAGGGTCACCTTACTAGAATTTTGTTGGAGATTCTCCCCCCATCCACTGTATAGGAGCAGAGAATTCTTCAGGGAAGGTTAGAGAAAGGAAGATACTGCTATTGGAAGTGTCTAGACTTAGATGAAGAATATTGTTGAGAAACAACAGCTTCACATTTCGAAACTCATGCTTAATAATGGTTTCTATGATCTTATAGCAATACTTCTTTTTGGCTTATCCCCATAAATCAAAGAGTGTGTCCTATTTTCAGTGTAATAACAAATCATTTTTCTCAGCCTGGACATTTAAGGGAAGTTACACATGAGAAAGTCCAGAAGCTGCACTGTGAGTAGATAAGACTCCTTTAAACCTTCACTTCTCGTACTTTCAATATATTTTTAAAAGTGAATTTTTTAAGCCCGCAAATATTTTCAACTTTGTGTATCTAGGGCTTCCTCTAAGTACATAAAAACACATTGGATACAGAATGAAATCCTCAAGCTCAAGAACAGAACTTTGAAAACTTATCAGCACTCTGGAAACTTAGGCATCACAGTTGCTGTCAAGTTGATTCCAAGTCACGGTGAGCCCCAGCTCAGGGCGGAACACTGCTGCGCAGAGTTGTCAAGGCCGAAGCCCTTAGGAAACTGATCTATAGGCTTTTCCCCTGGGGGGATTCAAACCAACACCTTTACGTTACTAACCAAGTGCTTAACTGTTAGCAAGGCCCAAGGGGTCATGGGCCTTACCAGGACTGCTTTTCCCTCCACTCCATATCCATCTGAATGGTCTTCGAGGCATAGAATTAATTACCATTGTCCAGCTTTTTATTCTGATGACTCACTTCCCCAAGTGAACAGCAAATAGATGCACCATACTCAGTAAAGAAATAACTTCAAATTCAAAAACGAGCAAGCAGAGCCGGGTTGACAGAACGCCGTAAAATGATTTTTCACACCCCCTGGTATTGTCTGTGGTTGGCAACTCCTCTGCCGAAGATTGCTCCAGTACAATGTGCAAGTCATTTGCTTTGCATCTGTGATTGGTTTGGTGTATGCAGAGGAAAAGGATGAAACATTTAACAAAATTAAGTGTGGTTGGGTCTCAAATTATTAATCCTTCTTTGATTTTTATTTCATGGCAAGAAAGCCCCCAGGGCAAAGCTGTTCCGGTCAAGCCTCAGGCTCTCCTTGTTCCTCTGCAGCCAGGCCAAGTGCAAGTCTCCTGAGACTCCAGAGGGAGCAAGACTCGGGTCCCTGCTGACTGTGTACTTAGCTCTCTGTGAGGAGAAAGAGATTTTCAAGAAAGCTACAAAAGGGAGGAGCCAAAGGGCCTGGAAAACGCTGAAAGCTAAAAAGAAGACAAGCTTCACACTTGAAGGGGGATTAAAAAAAAAGACGGAACTGTGGGACACAAGAACAGGGCCCTCTTCAAAGACGCTGTGATGGGGACGGATTGTCTCCAGGCTCCTCCCACCAAACAGTGGAGTCACTTTCCCTTCAGGTACCAACTCCCATTACAAACAAGGGTGCTTGAAACAGATGCCAACCGCTGATGGCGTCCCTCTGGGCTGCTGAAAGCAGACTTTCCCTGGATGGCATAAACAATCAAAAAGGAGTAAAGAAAAGAAAAAGGATGCAAACTGAACAAAGATAAGCATCATAAAAACACTTTCTGCGGAAAAGAAAATACTTTCATCAGAAAATAATCCACTGTGATTGACAATCAGCTTTGCTTACCCCTTTCTGGAGCGTCCCCCCCCCCCCTGGGACTTGGGAGTTTCTGCAGCAGACAGAGAGAGAGAGAGAGAGAGAGAGAGAGAGAGAGAGAGAGAGAGAGAGAGAGAGAGAAGGGATTTCTAACTCCTGGTTCAAGCACAAGTGAGGCATGCTGCCCTGGCCTATGCAATAAATACAGTTATGCAAAACCCAAGCGGCCACAAGTCCCTAAATCCAGTCTTGGTTGTTTTAGGTTCCAGTTGCTTCCTCCTTCCGACTTTGATCAGGAAAAGGGAAAATCAAAACCCTGGAGAGAAGGAGGAAGGGATTTTCGGGTTTTTGTTCGTTTCATGTGAACCAATCTAAAGCAGGAAAGGAGCCTCCTGCGGCTCCTGGCCCCTCTGGAGTGTTTTTCTCTTTGGGGCGGATTCCCACCTTGCTTGTCACACAGTCCCCCTCTGCATGCCAGGTGACTGGCACAGCAGTGGGAAGTGGTGATGTGGGCATCCCTTTAGATCAGTGCACAGGCTTTTTGATTGAGCCGCACATGGAAAATGTGTGTCTACAAAATCTTTTTGATGAACATTCAAATGTCTGGGATTTTTATGGCCAAATTTTCAGTTCGTCAGATAAAGGATCTGTTGGACCTCAGATTCTGGGGCCCAGATCAAAGTCAGGCCTCTTTGCAACTCTAACCTGTGTAACTTCTGACGTTATCTTCTGCGTCTCTCTCTTGCTTCTATTTCCAACAAAAATTTGCCTATCAAAATAAATGCACTTGAGTTTTTCCAAACTGTTCGTTGAACACTGGTTTACTGTTGATGATTGAAGGGGCACAAGCTGCCAAAGACCAAAAGCCAGCTGATCTACGCAGCCAATCTTGAAGGAATACAAGAAGGCCCAAGGACGTCGGTGTGCTGGTCCTCTCCTGAAGCCTTATCTGATCATAATTCAGGACGGAGTCACATCGAATGTCAGTTATTCAAATGTCTTGGTGTTCAAAAGTCCACATAAACTTATTTGCTGACTTCCCTCTTTTCAGAGGAAAAAAAAAAGTTTGTACTACAGCCCATAATCCAGGATAAAGTACAGGAATCTGCTTTTGCAGCTTCCCATATCCGTAGAGTGCACCCCCCTCAGGGAATGATCTCGCCCACTCTGGGAGGCACTGTTGTACAGTATAGAGTGTATTTTTTTATGCATCCAAAACATTTAAGAAGCGATTCCTGATGCAAAAAAGAGTACAGTATAATAATACACTAATAGTAATAATGATTTTTGATACACATCATAACAAATCATTTATTATTACAAACCATTGTATGTATCTAGAACTTTTAACATTACAGGCTTTGTGGGGTTGATTTGTAACGACAGGCTGTACATGTCAGAGAGTCATATAATGCTGGGACTATATATGTGTGTGTGTATAAAATATTTCTGTCCCAACTTTCTGGTACAAAGGCAGAAATCCTAGGCTCTTAAGCAAGTAAACAAACTAAAGAGCGGTCCCAGAGCTATATTCCCCAAAGCAAATCACTTCTCTAGAATGAGTGAATCCAAGTGACTGGACATTGCCAGAAATGATCTCCAAAAATCATCTCAGAGATTCAAGCCTGTCCACATCATGACTCATAAGGTGTGCACTTCGTGGAGCTGCCTGGAAGGGGACTCACCTTTGAGTCATTCTTCTTTTTAATTTATTCATGCCTGATGCCTGATGGCCACCACCTCTCACGTCTCCACCGACAAGCACAGGATGGAGAACTCCTGACACAAAACGTCTAGGGATCCGTGTCGAATAAGCCCACCAGGGATGGGGTGGTCTCATGCTACCTGGGGTTCTGCCAATAATCCTAAATCATTTTTGGAAGTGTAGTTTGTGCATGTACATTTTCTACACAGTGATTTTACAAAGAATACTTTAAGGTGACTTAAACCATAATATAAATGTGATTTTTTAAGTGGAACTGGCATCAGACAAAGTAGTCTGCTTCAGTGCCTATGTATGCTGCCATATCTCCATTCCCTGGCATGACATTCAGCACCAAATCATGTCAAACTCAAAGCAGAGCTTGGGTTTGCAGAACTCACCAACTTCTACCTACGATTTTATTGTGCCTTGCTTGTTCAGTGACTGGGGTCGTGTCTACAATGAATCTTTGTACATAACTGAACCTTCCGACTGCTCTCACTCAACTTATCATGCACGCTTATAAGAAGCATATTGGAATGTATCATATATGCGTTTTTTTTAACTATCAAAATGCTTCACAAACTTAAAATAGTTTTCAAGGAAGGCAAACACATCGTAAGTACTATTAGCCGTAGAAGTGATAACAAAAATTTTGGAAGTACTTCCTAGAAGAGCCCCAGTAGCAGCACCCATACATATAAATGTGCATAAAAACTAGAAAAGAAAGAAAGCCCAACTCTGTCTCTCCTCCAGTCAATTCTGACTCTTATTCACCCTTCCAGGAGAGACGAGAACTGCCCCTGTGGGTTTCTGAGACTGTAGCCCTCTACAGCCCACAGAGCAGCTGGTGGTTTCAAACTGCTGACCTTGTGGTGAGCAGCCCAACCAGTAACCCACTATGCCACCAGGGCTCCTGGTGTAAATGCACGTATGTACTCTAAAATGAATTATTATTATTCACCACCCCCTCTCCACCACACTCTATCCTTGCACCTGCGCATGACTTTCCAGGCATATTGCTATGTCCTGCGGCATGAGGACAGGAGAGCTGGGTCTATCTTACTAGGCAAGGAGAACAAAGGGTCTTGCTTAAGGTTAATCAGTGGCAAGATTAAGAAATATTTCAGCACTTCTGCTCCCAAAGCTCCCATTCTAGTTGCAAATATTATTTTCTGTTTTATATACAACGTGCATTTTCAGTGCTATTCTTAGACATTTTCATTTTAATCAAATTTTCAGAGGACATGGAGAAGAGATAAAACACAAGCCAGCCTTCTATTATTGAATTAATCTGATTTTTGTCTTTCGCGCGGCCAGCTATCAAGACTGTCGAATAAACCAGTTTTGATTCATAAATAATAGTTCCATTATATCTACTGTGCCACTCGTCAGAGCACCTGAAATTTTAATTCACTTGTTCAGCTAAATTTCATCCTCAGTTCATGGCCATAAAATTCCTTATTGACAAACTTTCAAACCAACTTTGACTCTGAGGTATCTAGTCAACATTTTTCTTCTGTGTGGATATTAGTTTATTGAATAAGTGGCATATGTTTTCCTCCACATCACTAGCAGAGGAGGTATTTCCTTTTGACAGCTTCGCAGGATTTATGGGTTTGCATGCTCTGAAGAAAAATTGTACTAAGCAAAAAATTCCAATTCATTACCTCTTCGTACTTAATTAAGTTCATACCCACGGCACACTGGAGCTGAACCCTGAAATGGCTGGGACTGCAGCAGGCAGGCAGCTATATTATCTTTGGAAGACAGAGAGGATTCTAATGATCCTGACCTCATTTTTCCGTCTCTGATATTCATAAGCGTTCCTCCTATGTTGTTTCCCTGTAGATTAAGAAAAAACTGTCTCCTAAACCCGGGCAGATTCCTCTGCGGTCCCCAACCCATCGGAGCAGCTGGGGGGATGGGGGGGTAGGGGTAAGGGGGGAGGTTGCATTACTCTCTGACCTTCCAGAACACCCCCCCTTCTCCTCACGTGCTTCTGCAATGCAAGCCACGGGAAGGTCTCCCTAAGCAACACCCGCCCCCCTCCCCCCGCGGGCCCCGGGGTCCAGCGTTACCTGTCGGGGTTCTGCGTGCACACGTGCATCTGTAAGAGGATGCGCTGAGTGAAAGTCTTAAAGCACTGGCCGCATTTCCACAGGTGCCAGTCACTGAACTCCGAGTGGAGCTGGCTGGTGGAAGTGGGGCTTGCGAGCACCCGCTGGTTTTTCACGTTGATTTGGTTGAAGCCTGACTCCATGGGCCCAGACTTATCCAGAAGAGCGAAGTTCCTGCTGCACGGCGTCTGCGGGAAGACCACTGAGCGCTGCTGGGCGGCCGCGGACAGTTTGCTGCTCTTGTTGAAGGGCTGCAGGGCGTCTTGTCTGCACATGGCTTCCATTACCGTTGAAGGGACATTTACTAGGGAAACAGCAGTATTTTTAGACGATCAGTTTTACTAGCTCTTAACATAAGAAACATCATTTGTTTTTCAATTCCATTAAATTAACATTTTTAAAACTTGTTTTTCTGGCCTCAGAATTAATATAAGAGCCGACAGCTTGATGATTATGATCAGAAATCAATACATCATCCAATGCTTAGCTATTTGGCACTAGAATTGATCTGACACGCTCTTTGCCCTCATGGAGTTCAGCTGAGCCCTGCAAGGCCAAGACTCCATCAAGCGGTTCCTTCTGCTTTGCCCCGGGGGTCTTGAAGGCATTCACAGGGAGGCACGGGCCGGGGCGGGGGGAGCGGGGAGCAAGGAGGTGGTCTTCAGCAGAGCAGAAAAGGAGAATTCAACTGAGCTGCATAGGCCTTCCACCTTCCTTTCCAGCCCACAACAGGTATTCAAGAGAAAAGCGGGCTGCAGAGAAGACAGGGATGATGGGGAAGACAGCTGGAGCCAGGGAATGCTTGCTGCCAAGCTGGTGGCATAACGAGGAGACAGCTGACTGGGCAGGGGACGGAGCTGGACATTGTGGGAAGAAGGGGGATCCCGGGCTGGGCAGGTTTCAGAGGACTTTAAAAGGGCAAAAGGACACATCAGAAAAAATAGAAGAAGAACGCCGGGAAAAAGGATGATTGTACACAGAGGGCTGGGTGTGTCGTGGCTTGGAAGCAGGATGCACAGTGGGTAAGAGGAGAGTGGGAGCCTACAGGGGGCCAAGGGGTGTCAAAGAATTTAACGTTTACAGAGTGGCCAAGAAGGAAGAAACCAGAGAGACCAACGTGTTCAAAGGGCCTGAAGACGGCTGCCAGCAAGTAACAGAATGAAGCAAACAAACTAAGGCTGTTGGTCAGTGGCTCACGGCACAAGGAAGGCCGCGTGTGCACTGTGAGGGCTCCTCCTGCCATCATCGGCCACCAAGAGGACTCTCACGGAGGGAAGAGACACGTGTCTTCAATGGTGCACAGGGAATGCATGGTGCAGGAACGGGGCTGCAGGGGGCTGCAGGGCGTGAGGGAGCAAGTAGGCATTCTAGGTGGGCCACACGGGGGATTGCTGCCACTGTTGGTTGGGTTGGGCAATCCTGGGCGAATGACCAAGTTTCTGTGTGCCTCAGTTTCCTCATCTGTAAAATGGGGGCAGTGTAACAATAATTATAAAAATAATGCCATGGTCTTATGGCAACATGACATGCTGCCTCTCCAGGGTGCTCTTCTTCTCAGAATACACGTGTTTTATTAGGTGGGTCCAATAAAAAGGCAGGCTGTGTTTACAGGGCTTTGGTCCATCCTGTCTTGGAAGGGACAACAAAGCGAGAGAATCAGAGTTCTGGAAGGAGCCTAGAGATAAGTTTCAAGTTCTCTGAGTGCTACAGCGATGTAATCAGGGTTGAAAGGTATGCATCAAATGTCGCCCTTTTTATTATGAACAAGCCTGAGGCCCCATAAGGTCTAGGAACCTGTCCGAGGGCAGACGTTCAGGTAAGGGCAGAGCTAGACTTCGCCACGCAGCCTGACTCCCAGGGCTCCTGTGTTGCTGACCACGCTTCTAGACTGTCTATGCCCTTTAGCTGTAGTTCAAACTGAACAAGAATAGTTTACAGTTCATGAGGAGTTCATATATGTGTGCCTATACTCCACTAGCTGTAAAATGTACACACACACATACACATAAGTATACACACATGTACACACACACGAGGGGCTTAAATAAGGTTCATGGAATTCCATTATCTTTTAATTTAATTTTCCATAAACTTTCAAAGCTCTACCTCTCTGTCTGTCTCCCTCTGTCTCTCTCTCTGTCTCTCTCTCTCTCTCACACACACATACACACACACAATTCATTATTGTCAAGTCAATTCCAATTCATAGCAACCCTATAGGACTGAGTAAAATGACCTCCTAGGATTTCAAAGGGTGTAAATCTTTTTGGAAGTAAAATGCTGTATCTCTTTCCTGTGGAGTGGCAGGAAGAATTGAACTGATGATCTTTTAGTTAGCAGTGGAACATTTTAACCACGAAGCCACTGGGGCTCATTAGAAAAACCAATACATAAATGGAGATGTATGTATACATGTATGTGCAAGTCCACAGGGGGTCCCTGCGTGAGCAAAGGGTTAGCTCACTCAGCTGCTAACCGAAAGGCTGGAGATTCAAGTCCACCCGGAAGTGGCTCAGAAAAAGAGCCTGGCAATCTAATTCCCAAAAATTCAGTCAAGGAAAATTCTGTGGAGCATAGTTCTATTCTGAAATATGTGCGGTCTCCACATATTCAAATAGGATTTGAAGTTGGTTTGACAGCAGCTGGATGTACATGTGTACCCATTCATAGACATATGAATATATTCATATTTTACATATTTTTAGGTGTCATGAAGTTGGTTCCATTTCATTGGTTGTTCAGAGGGACCCTATGCACAGCTGAAAGAAACACTGCCCAATTCTGTGTCCACCTTGCAATTGTTACGTTTGAACCCACTGCTACTGCAGATGGCTTTGACATATAAATGTGTACAATTTTGACTTCTGGGACGCAAATATATAATCAATATGGAATTTGTGGGCATATTTATCAACTCTCAAAAAGAATTTTATTCCACATCAATTGTTACTTTTTAAATAGATCATGGAGGATAAGGAGAAAGACTTGTCCATGTTCAGGCACTTCTTAACTGAAAGATAAAAAGAGCAGCCTTGTCAGAGATCAGGCTAGAAGCCTATTTCGCCCTGTGCAACTAACTAATCCGGAAGAAGCAAAGCACAAGGAAGCTGTGAGTTTCCAGTGACTCTAAACTCTTGTGGCAGGAGAAGCCAGTGGGCCAGGAAAGAGCACCTGGGGACGGCCTGGGCCACGAGTGTCCTCAACACACACCAGAGCGGAGAAAGCCGGCCAGAGCTGCACTGTGGAGAAGAGGATTAAAATATTCTTGGGGTAAAAGAAAACACACGGTGCTCCAAGGATAGGTTATAGATTCTGACTTCTTGCTCATTCTACTGGGACGTCATCTCCTAAATGAATTTTCAAAACTTGCAAGGTCAGGTACCTTTGATATTGAACAAAACTATTTGTGGGGCAAAAATTTTTGTATGTTTAATGGTGAAGGCCAAAATGGTAATAAAGGAGAAAATCATACAAATCTGTATAATAATTCAGGATGTACGGGACCTGAATTCATGATAATAATAACAACAGTAGTATTTAGGCAATAAGAACAGGGATGATTGGAATAAAATTGCTTTATTATCTTCTTCTCTGAGGCACCACCCAACAAATGTAACATCTTGCTTTTGGCACAATTCCTTATACTCGGGAGTCAATTCAATTCTACGGAAAGAAAAATGGCATATAATTCAAAGAGAAGAAAAAGTAAGAGTTGGAATAAGTTATTTTCACAAAGCAATCATATTGGATCTTCAAATGGGCCTGTAGAACCTCTCCATGATTCCAGAAGTCTTACAAAGTAAGGCTTTTAAAAGCCAGACTTTTGAAAGCAGCAAAAGATTACTCTTCTTAAGCATCAACCTCATCGACTGTGACCATCAAACTACTAACAAAACCAGGAACTGATCAGAAAGGGAACAAGAAATGAATCAGAAAACATGATTTTGTTTCAGCTAAAGAAAGACCATACATAGAACTACAAAAGGCTCAAACCCAGCTAACTGAAAATGATCAAAAAGATAAAGGGTTTCTAGGTGAATAGATATTTCGAATCTCTTCAAAGGTAAAGACAAAGAGCAAAGGGGAGGGGGTAAATTCTCAAAGCCTTGAACTCATCAAATCCCAGACAATTAAAATATTGAGAGAAGCTAATTTAGGATCCATACAACTAAGCCCTGCATTAACTCCCTTGCCCATTCAGTCAGCCTGCAGAGACTTACGATGAACCTCGAGCGCAGGTCTGACGCTGTTCTAGGTCCTATGGACACAACGGGAGTAAGAGAGTCGCAGTCCTTGCCCTCATGTCACTAAACTCCCCTGGGAGAGGCAGAAGACTGGATGTCAGTTCTTACAGAAAGCTTGACTCACTTTCATCATATCTAACATTCTCCTATTAGCAAGCTGCACCATTATCATTGTGACTCACTATTCATGATAAGACATTTGCCAGTTTCAGAAAATGTCAAAATGTAAAAAATTATTAATTTCATAAATGACACAAGATAGTCATGATGATAGTGATAAGTGTGGTGACAGAAGAAAGGGGTGCCAGGAAAGCCTATAGCAAAGATGGATTGATTATCCCATCGGGGTCTGCCTGTTAGAATCGAGTCTTCTCGCCAATGGCCCAAGAGGGGCCTGGTCTACTCAGATTGTGGACAGTCTTGTCTAAGTCCCATATAAAGGACAGGAAAGTGCCTTCTCATTCCTGAATTTATGTAGCGTATAATCCCATCCTCCAGGGGACCCAAGGAACCTGGGATCTTGACGCCTCATTCCTACCTTAATGCTCAGCCCAACACTCCCCTAAGTATGAAATCATTATGGGATACGCTGAAGAGCAAGGGTGTCAAGTTGAGGACGAAGATGTGCCTGACTCAAGCCATGCTATTTTCGATCGCTCATATGCATGTGACAGTTGGACGCTGAGTGAGGAAGATCAAAGAAACATTGATGCATTTGAATGGTGGTGTGACCGAAGAACATGGAATGTGCCATAGACTAACAACAACAACAAACTCTTTCTTGGAAGAATAGCCAGAATGTTCCGTGGAGGCCAGGCTGGTGAAGCTGTGTCTCACGTACTTAGGCCATGGAGAAGGGCAGTAAAGACAAGGAATGACGGCCACAAAGTGGACGGACACAGTGGCTGCATCGTAGCCTCAAGGATAACAGCAGTGTGAGAACCGCACAGGTCGGGCAGTGTCTCCATCCGCTGCACACAGGGTCGCTCAGAGGTGGACTGGCTCCTGGCACGGAACAGCAGCAGCCGCCCAGAGCTCCGACGGGCGGGCTCCTCCTCTC